ATTACACGGAGCAGGATAATATCTCTAATCAAAACAAAAATGAAAGACTAAATTTGACAATAACTTACTTTGATTTAATTAGAGCTAGCTTTTCCTCTGCTTCAACATGTGACAATTCCATTCTCTGCTTATACAGGTAAGTAAGTAGCGACATCTTAAAATGAGGATCCAAAATCGACACAATGCAGTGCATATCGCCCATCTCTGCCCAGTATTTATCAAACTTGTCTTGCATTGGGTTGATTATTTGAAAGAGAAAAAGGTCTAAGTTAGCAGTATTCTGAAGGTGCGATCTAATTTTTAATAGTTGAGTAAGAAAAATATTTGCAGTAGAATAGGAGTTTCCTGATATAACTTTGGTAACTGAATCAAATATAGTAATTAATTTACGCTCACAGCAAAATATGAATTACGATATATTTATGTAATTTGAATATTGACTAAAAGTATAAAGTGCGTCATTACTTTTTTGATCGATATTTCTTATTGTAAAAAGAATAAATAAATAAATGACGCAGTTTATACTTATATTCATCATTAAAATTACGCAAATACGTTGTAATGGTAAATATTCGACATTGCTTACTATCGTAAAATGGTTTTAGGAAATCGCATAGATTTGTGGCCTGTTCCCACTCTTCATCCAAAGGTGCAATTGGTCCAAAACTAGAATCTCGATATGCAAGACGCTTAAATACATCTCTATATGGGATAGTGGACATTAGCATAATGTACGTCGAATTCCAGCGAGTAACTACGTCAAGAGCCGGTCGCTTGCTTGAAGCAAGTTCATTATGAAACCCAGCAATATAATCATCGAAGATTTGCTGTCTGCGTTCTGAACTATATATCCAATTCACACAATCCCGGATCTATAACATCAACTACATGTAAGTAAGTCAACTCTCTTTAAATCGAATTAATTACCAAATACTGATTATAATGAACTAAAAAAGTAAGAACATTTTATTATAAATAATTACATTGATTACATTTAATTATATTTAATTAATATAATAAAATCTGCTTTACTTACGAATGTGTTTAAATAATAAATTCTTTTTTTTTCTCTACCAAACTGACCGATCATCTAGTATTATGTTGTGCAATATGTTACGAATTTTAAAAATTTGTGTATCATTTGAATGCTTTCTTTTTATCTATATACTATCCTGATATATGCTTACGGCGCTATCATAGCAATAACCAAAACTACAGTACTTCCTTAAGAAAATCTAAATTTTATCCAGGCTTTTTCTGCCTTGCAAGTTCGATATAACAACTATAAGTCCTAGTGCAATTTCAGGCTGCAATCTGATGTAACTATCAAACGGCTGTTATCCAATTGATATCTTTGACATATTTATTGCTGTGTTATAATTTTCATTCTTAACAAATTACATCTTCTATTATTACTTTGTTCCATTAATATAAATTTAAGGGATCTATTTATTTTTTTGTTTCGTAACTATTTTAAGATTTGTTATTTCCAATAAGCGGACGAGAGTGCACATGAAAATGTGAGAATAATCTATTCTGAGTATCACCTATATTTTTTGTAGCCAATTCCAAGATTACATTGTCCACTATGGCCAATTTAAGTACTGCTTAAATGACTTTTTTTTCATTCTTAGTGTCGTATTGGTAAGTGCTAAAAATTATATTTAAAATAAATTGAAAAATCGCACTGCATGCAGACGCATGACTAATTTATGTAACCCTTATTTAAAATCTAAAAACCTATTATTAATTTTAACTTGATCATCAAATTTAAAGAAGTTAAGTATGAAAAAATAATAAATAAATTGATTTTTCAATGATCAAAGCTATAATCGCAAGTAGATTTATGGCACATACTATTAGCTAATTTTATGTATCGATAACTAATTCGTTTAGAGAGAGTTGACAGTAGTATATTTAAAATTCTATAAAAAATATCAACCTATTCACCTACCTTGCTCACAACGTTCTTAACCACTTTAAGCCCATCGGTTACTATGAGGTTCAATATATGTGCGCAACAGCACTGATACAATAAACTTCCACTCGCAACGAGTACGTTTTGTTCAGTGAGCCTGCGTTTTATATCTATCATTGCAGCGCTGTTGCTGGCTGCATTATCTAAGGTAATTGCTAGCGTCTATAACAAATACTATATATCAATATATATACATGAATAAAAAAAAACCTGCTGAGTTACTAAATGCCCACTTTAGATACAATATCCCAATCTTCAAGGCATTTAAAAAAGGTAGAACTAATAGCGATTCCAGTGTGTGGCGTGGGAACTAATCTAAATGCCAAGAGAATTTTTCGAAGATTCCAATCTTTGTCAACAAAATGGTCTAGTTGAGATACAATAAATAAGCGACTAGAAAAAATAAGCAAATGCTAAAAAAAAAAACATTATATACATGTAACAGCCATGTAACCAAGATTTTGGTTTGATGTCCAAAAATCGGTTGTAAAACTCAAGCGTCCGGGAGTATCTTGTAGCATCATACGAACTTTTTCCGCAAGATCTTCAACACGATCCTTATAATCTGCACGTGTTGTATTAATGCACATTACTTTGAACTGTGGTCGCAAATTTCTAAGAAGCTTCAGGAATCCCTTGTGTTCAACCATGTGGAATGGATATCGATGCATGAGAACCATATCGGCTAAGTCTTGACGACTTCTCTCTTGAGAGAATTTGTAATTAACGATACCAGATGTAGAAAGTTGTAATTGTAATTGCTGCTGTGATCCATCTTTAAGGTATTTACTACATTTGGTATTTTTTAAGTGACGGATCAAGGCACTTGTTCCCGTTTTAAAATCATATCTTTACAATATGTGCATTGGGCACGGTTCTCTAATGTAGTAATTATATTGAGATTTAATATATTACATAACCTATTGATTATCTAAACTCTTACTTTGGGGAATATTTTTGACAAAATGTCCTTCTTTAAAAACCCACGACTCAATGTTGCCTGTTTTACGTTTCTTAATAGCAGGAGTTTTTTCTAAACTTTCATTTTCGCTAATATTTGATTCCATGCTTGTTTTAGTGGATAATTATAATGGTTTAAATGAAATAGTCCAGTGATAAGTAATTGTATTGTTCCTTTAGCGTAGTGTAATATTGTTCTTCGAAAAAAAAAGGGGGCAATGTCTTTTAAATTAACTCAAAAAACCTAATTTTCATGTGGTTTTGTTTCTATTTTCGTATTTAAAAAATTACAAACCAAAAATATATATATATAGAATTAATTCTTAGAAAAAGAATGTTTGAGTCGTAGAATATATAATGCCATACGTAAGACACAAAGAACCAGTCATCTATTTAATATATATAAAATTTTAAGATTGCTAACCAATAAAAATTTGTATTACACTATTATCAATGAATCTGTTTTAATATATATAAATTTTAACACTACGTATCGCGAGAAATAATTGTTAGGTGATTATAATAAGAAAATTTATAAAGATTATAATAAAATCTTTATAAAGAGATATTAAAAATTCATTGAAGTGGTAATGTGCCAAATTGTCTTAAAGTATAACAGCATATTTTTTAGTTTTTAGTTGAAGATAGTACATAATTTAGGGCAAGTCAATATATGTAAATTAGAACGGTATAGAAAATTCTGAAAAGTAAGCAATGAATAGAAAGATATGATGATGAGATTTTTTTTTTTTTTTTGAAGCAACTTCTAATTTTGAAATGAAAGATTATAAAATTATATCAAACTGGAAATAACACCTTCACTTTAATTTAAAAAAAAATCCAAATCCTATTTTTTGAACATTAGTTACTGGCTTTTCAGGATTAGTTTAGGAAAATTAGAAAAGTACGACAAAAAGAGGTCTCCAGCGGCAGTTTCTTTTCGCTATATGACTGAATAATAAAATTGTAAAAATTCGGTATTGGCAAACATTTTTCTACGTACGTACGTACGTACCATAAAAAAAAAAAAAATTTTTTCACTAATTATGCTTTCAAATGATACGCAACTATAAAGTTATTCATGTGCGACACTAGTTTCTATATATATTTTCAGATAACTATATATATTACGTAATGTATTACTATAGTTCAAAAAAAAGAAGTAAAATTTTAACACGATAGGTCTGTGACCAATAAGAACTATATACTTTTAATGGGTATTACCGGGTCTTATCGGGCCTCTTTGTAATACCCGGACCCGGCCCATTATTTTACAAGCCCAGCCCGAACCTGGGCCGATTAATCACGGGCTTAAAAATTTGGGCCCAGGCCCAGCCCATTATTTTACAAGCCCAGCCCAAACCCGGCCCAATTAATCATGGGCTTAAAAATTTGGGCCCGGGCCCGGCCCAACCCACAAATTGCCGGGTTTGGCCCGGCCCATTGAACACCCTAAGCGATAGTATAACAGATAATTAATAATTGTTACCGTTACGTATAAATTACATAATTACACCAATACAGTTATAAATTATTATAAAATTGCGGTAATTAATTTAGAGTATGATATATCGATATGTTTTGGATTTTCTCGGATTGCGGCATAAATTATGATTTGCGGCTTTATTTTTGCTGAAAACTAATTTCTACGGCATGTATAGGTAGATAGAACTATTACAGCTTATGCCGTAACTAGCTAAAACTTATGTCTTAGCTAATTACAGTATAAACCTACTTTAAATATATATCAATATATATCATATTGACCAGAAACGTATGCATTTGTATATTAATATCGATAACACTGAAATTTAAATCTGGTCAATTAATCATTGGTCAGCTATAATCATAATTCAGAAAGATGGGCTTGCTAAAAATTTATTACAGTAATTTTGAACCACCCTAGCATCCCCAACCTAAAAAATTTCGCAATTGGGATTAAAATTTAAGATCAGGTGTAACATAAAATTAAACTAAAAATACCCAAACCCTAACCCTAACTCTGGTAGCGAAATTTTTTAGGGTGGTGATGCTAGGGTCATAGACTGGTAGGTCCACTCACTCATGGTTTTTCAGAAGGGTTCATACTAGTTGGTATTAACGTTAATGTTGGTATATGATTGGCATCTTGAGACTGTGATTGAGCTTCTTCTATCACAATTAACGCGAATGAAAGAATTTAATTACTTAAAAGAAACCTATTTTAAAAAAAGAACTTTGATCAGCAACATACCAGATAATAAAAGTGTTCTAAAAACGGTTTGCCAGTTACGAAGAATCATAGCAACACCTAATAAATTAATGCAAAAAATTAATTTTACATTTTATAATAGTATAGATTTATAATAGCAATAGAACAAAGCAATATATATATATATACACGAACCTTCACATCCACTATTTAATTCTTCAAATTTCAAGGACAATGCATCAAAGTAATTTACCAACTCCTGAGAAGTTTTTTTCAAAACTAACAAATTTTCATATTCTTGTTGTTTTTCTTGCAATCTCATTTGGAGAGTAATTTGTTTTGCTGTAGGAATATTAATTGAATTATTGGTTGTCATTTTGATATCAAAAAATGATAAAAACAAACGCGACTTTAAAGAAAGTATCGGTATGACAGAATTTCTTTTTTCTATTTGATAATTTAAACGTGACCTAGCTGGCCAATCAAATTCATGTCATCGAACTGCCTTATTCTAGTCAAGATAGGGTTTAAACGTTATTACTGTACGTAAATCTCATCATTCTGCATAATTTTGCAGTATGGCAAACACAATTAAGTTACTAGCAAGCTCACATCGTTGATGCCAAAATTGGTTTATTATCTCACGAAACTAGAGTTCTTACATACGTACTCATACCCAATATTTCGAGAATTAAATGTATATACATAGTATCACCACTGGCGCAGAAAAAATTAACACGTGGATGAATTCTTTTTATCGATAAACTACAAGTTTCCAATTTTTTTTTTTTGCAGTAAAGCCATCTTGAAGCCATGATCCGTACCAATACACTTTCTCCTGGCTCTCCCTCTCCAGCAACTTTACTTAATCCTTTAAATAATATTTCATCAACTGACGTTTCAACTACTCCGGTTCAACAACTTTCATGGGAATTTTTGAGAAAACAAGCTCGTCAGTTAGAAAATGAAATAGAGCAGAAATTAAATAGTTATTCTAAACTTGCTGCGCAAGTAGGGAGAAATATAAGTTCTAGCCCTGGGAATATAGGGAATTTATATGGAGGAGAAGGTTTAGTAGGGAATTCTAGTGAGGCCATGGAATTGGAATTAGATGAACTGATTAAAAAGGTATTATATTTAGAGTTTAAATTATTATTAAATTATTATTATATTATTATTATTATTATTATATTATTAATATATTATTAATATATTATTATTATAACTTCATTTTATTTTATTGTTAAAATTATTTTGATTTTGTTAGTTAACAATGGTAGTAAATTCTATGGCTGAAGTTGTAGATAGACCATCAACCACACCAACAAATCCATCGATGATGCACATGTTACAACGACATAGAGATATTTTATACGATTATTCAAAGGATTTTAAAAAGACAAAGGTACAAAACAACACCAAAAAATTTTTATATCTTAAGAAGATAGATCTGTATAATTGATAATTTATTAGAGAAGGCATTTATACATAAGCGTATGATATGAACAAATTCAATTCATTAATATATAGCATATATTGGTTAATATACGAAAAATGCTTATTTGAACTCAAATCTTTATTATTATCATTAAAATTATGTATAATATATAACAGAATTTATTATTTATTTATTTTAGGCAAACATTCAAGCTGCAAAAAATCATTCAGATTTGTTGAGTTCAGTCAGAGATGATATAAGGTATGTAGAAAATCATGTAATTATTTGTTAAAGGCCACATTACTGATTAATTCAACTTTATAGTTCTTTTAAATCTGGAATGAGTAGCGAAACTGATTATTTTTTAAGCGAACGAGGTAGAATTGAAAATTCGCATAGAATGACGGATATGGTTATTGAGTAAGCATTATTGTTAATGATATCAATTAGAATTACGTTTACGTTGTAGATTATTGTATAAAAAAAAAATTATTATTGTCAAATATTAAATGACTTATGGAAAATTTTTGAAAACTTTGATTAAATAATTTTATAATTTTTTAGACAAGCATATGAAACGAGGGAAGAAATGGGAAGACAAAGAAGTACATTATTAAAAATTAATACACGGATGAGTCGACTTACAAGTATGTCGTTATACTATTTTGATAAATGATTATACATCTGATTTTTAATTAAACATTTATTAATTATTGTGTTACTGTATGCAATAGATCTTTTTCCGGCTCTTAATAGTCTAATAGGTCGTATTAATACACGTAAAACACGGGATAAGATTATATTAGCAGGAACAATATCATTTTGTATTATTTTATTATTTTGGTATATAAATTCAGGAAGTTAGTTACCTTACTATTGAATAAATATTATAAAATAGTGCATGTTTGATAAAGAAGTATATAAACTGAGTAAAAGATTTTGGTGTTATTTACACTTTGTAAGTTTTTTTTTTTTTAAAATAAAAAAAACTATATTTATGGTGGCTTTAATAATAATAAAAAAAGGTTGTTTTTTTTTATGTATGAAACAACTTTTCAGCGAATGAAATTGAAAATTTATTCTTTTTCGACAAATTTCGGCAAATAAGACTGAAAGTGGATTATTTTTATCTTAATGAATGTTAAGACAAATTATAAAGCAAGATTGCATTATCGATATTAAGGAAGAGTCTTCGGACACTTACCATTAAGTGATGATTTATATTATCATTTTACATGCTTACGTTTTTTTATAATACATAATAGTAAGTGCCTGAAATGATTCCTCACTTAAATTTTGTCTGTCGTCATCTAAAATTTTGTTATAAATACTAAAACTGCGTTCTACACTACAAGATGAAATTGGTAGCCAACTATACTTCATGGCTATTGTATTTAAAAGTGGTGAGAGTTCATATCTCAAGCCATGTAGCTGCCTCTACTCAATTGGGTAAGTATCTCAAGCCTGCATGCTGTCATAATTAGCTGGTTTCTTGCAACTTTAAGACCTAGGTCTTTGACATATTAAATTTGTTAATTGTGCTAATAACTATACTCCCTAATATGGTGATAAGGTGTTCAAACATGTTTTGCAAATGCTTTCAGTAGTTAGTATAGTTAAATGGCATTATGAGGTTCAGAGGTAATAGATGTATTATCATTTCTTTTTATAATGATTCTTGGCAGTTGTATCTCCAGTTATTACTACATGCACTTATACTAGCTATACTTATATTGGTGGTTTTAGATTCTTTTAATGTTTAAAGATTTTTATGCAAGTATAACTAGAGTTTGTTGGATCTATTAATATGTACATATTTCCATGCTTCAATTTTTTATTGGCTAGTGAGTTCTATATTATCAGAGGTGTTTTAAATCTAGTAAGGTCAATTCTTTACTATAGATTTCTTTGTGTTTACTATATTTCTTACTACTTCCAATTCTGGTTATCACCTGGTTATCCTCTTAAACAAAATCTCTAATACTATCTTAGTGGTTGTTGGTGTTACCTTGTCAATTGCAAATTTACATGCATAACCTTTATATAATAAAACTTTCTATAACAATTACTATTATATATAGTGCTAACAGCATGGTGAACATTCAATTTAATTGGCTTGAAGATCACTAGGTTACACAATATAAATAAAAATTTTTAAAGTAATCCTTACTATAAAAAACCATATTGTCAATTAGCAACTTGCAGTTTTACATAATTAAGTTTTTTTTAAATATTTTATAGTATTTTTTATCTCTTCATACATCTTTAGGAAAAAAAGATCAGTATAGATCAGTATCCCTAAAAAGTTTACTTAGAGGGCAAATTTAGACGAGTAATATGAGGTGATTAGAAGTTAATAAGTTATAAAACTTATTTTTTGCTTTCAAAAAATTATTTTAACAAAAAATTTATAAAAGTTAGGATGTTCGCAAGTAGCTCTCTTATGTGTTTAGCTAATATTATTCAAAAACTATGAATACTGATCTTAAATAGCCAATTAAAAGTAGTTAGCCAAAGCTAGTCGAATCTAGTTGAATCTGGTTTAGTACTCTATCATTGTTCAAGCTAAATATATATTCTTTTTCAATTAGTGCTTTAACTACTTTATTGTTATATATTTGATCTTTTTATTTACCATTGCACCAATTATATGAATTGATAGATGTTCAAGCCTTTTCTCTAGAATTTCTAGGTTACTTCCCCTTCATCGAGGTTTTATTGCTTCTGCTCCTTGCTTTCCTCTTTTAACTTTGCTAGGAGCTAAAACCCGGGGCCTACCCCTAACCTAGAACCAATCTAACAATTCCCCCCTTAATTAACCCCAAGGGGTATAAAATCTGGGCAGGTGAGAGTAGTTAGAGTAGAATTTCAGACATAAGTCATATGATACTATCAAATGAAAAGTTAAATAGTATGTTAAATTGTTATTTACATGTCAAATTTTTTTTTGTATTTTGATTAGCACACTTATGAATTATGTGAAAGTATTGAATGAGAGATTGAATACATGGTAAATTATGTTATTAGTAAAAAATTTTTACTTTTATTAGTGTTATAAGTCACATGATAATCATACAAATTATGCAATATTCAACTTCATAAATGAGGTCATAATCAAAAATTATGCAATATTCAACTTTATAAAATCAAATTTATAATCAAAAATTATGCAATTTTTAACTTTATAATAAAATATGTTATAATAAGTTTAGCAATATTTGATTTGACTGCATAAGTGAGGTTTATAATTAAAAATCATGCAAATTATGCAATATTCGACTTCATAAACGATGTTGCCAATCAAAAATTCAACTTTATAAGCAAGATTCATAATCAAAATTACGCAATATTTAACTTTATAAAAAGTATTAATAATTAAAAATCATGCAATATGCGACTTTATATAAAGTGCATCAGAATTAAGTTTACAATCTAAATTATACAATATTCAACTATATTGTAATAAAGTGTGTTATATATTCAAAAAGAAAAAATTATACCATATTTGACTTTATAATAAAGTGCATCATAATCAAGTTTACAATCTAAATTATATAATATTCAACTATAATAAAGTGTGTTACATAATTACATCAGGAAATTTTTAAATTGGTTAGTAATTGATTGACAAATAGAAATATTAATCAATAAGCAGCACCCTTGTTGATTGCCAGTGATACAAATTAGAATCGATTCATGCTGATTAAAATTGATTAATATTGATTAATATCGCTTGATTCAAAATCGATTAGCATCAAAACAAATTAAAATTGATTACTTTTTTATCGATTGTGTATTGATTAGTAACCAATATCAATTATTATAGATTTTTCTAATCGATGGCAATCGCCTCTGTAGCTAGTAATTGATATTCATCCTATTTAAAAATTTTTTGATATAAAAGCAAAAATCATACTATATTTGACTTTATAATAATAAAGTATTAAATTAGAGTGCATTATAATCTACTTT